GGACGAAAAGATAATAATATCGTCCAGGTAGCAAAGGCAACTTTTCCATTTTAGGCTGCGCAGCACAGTATCTATCATGCGCTCAAAAGTCGCGGGTGGGTTGCAGAGCCCGAAAGGCATCACGTTGAATTCATATAGCCCGTCGGCGGTTGCGAATGCCGTTTTCTTCTTATCGTCTTCATGCATGAGTATCTGCCAGTACCCAGAACGCAAGTCGATGCTTGAAAAGAATTCCGCGCCTTGTAGCGAATCAAGGGTGTCGTCAATGCGTGGCATAGGGTACACATCCCTGAGTGTGATCTTATTGAGCGCCCGGTAGTCCACGCAAAACAGCACAGAGCCATCCTTTTTATGGACCAAAACAATAGGAGACGACCAAGGGCTAGATGAGGGACGGATGACTTCCCGTTTAGGCATGTCGGCAACGTTTTCTTCTATAATTTTTCTTTCAGTTAGAGACACGCGGTAGGGTCGGCGGTGTACGATAGATGTCCCAACATTTTGAATTCGATGTGCTGTAGTATTAGTGCGGCCCAACTTAGACGAGCAAATATCGAAAGAATTCGTATGTTTCTGTAACAATGCGAGCAGCTGCTGCCTCTGTGAATATGTCAATTCGCTGCTGATAGTGGTGGTAAAGGTGTAGGAAGAAACATGCTCACCGAGGCAGGGTTCTTTGGTTGCGATGACCTGAAGTAGCGGGACAAATACAGGCTCGATGTCAGCAACACGGGCCACAGTAGTGCCCTGCGGCAGTAAGATCTTCTCCGGTGTAGAGTTGACGGCAGTGACAAGTGCTGAGCCATTGCAAAAACGAACGACACCGGACGGAAGAACTATGCCTTTGCGAACGCAAAGTGGTGACGGTGAGACCAATACATCCCCGTGACAGATGTCGTTGGACGTAATGCTGACAATTTGCTCTTGTAGTGGCGGCAGTTCGATGTCTTTCGCAGCGACCAGACAAAGCGGCTTCTGATTGTCGTCGTCAAGCATATAGTCAGTGTCAGCGAGGTGAACGACGCGTTGTCCACGACAAATCGCCACGGAAGCAGATGATAGAAAATCCCATCCTAAAATTAGTTGGTGAGAGCAGCGGGACAGGACAGCAAACTGGACATGATGGTGGATGCCGTCGATGAAAACACGCACAGTACAAAACGCAGAAGGGCGAATGACGTTCCCCTGGGCAGCAACTAACGTGGGGCCATCGTAAGGCGTCATTACTTTCCTTAAATATTCACACAAATCAGCACGTATCACAGACAATGTCGCACATGTGTCGACCAAAGTATCGACTCGCACTCCTTCCACTTTCACAGAAACCATGTTACATGGGCCTGATGGAGGAATTTCAGTTCTAATTCCAAATGCAGCTTTTCCTCCACAAACTGCATCACTTAGTTTTCCGAATGAATATCAGAGGTGAATGAGGCGAGCCGAAGTGGAGAAGTGGAACAGCGGAAGGGCGAAGGCGAGCGGCGTCTCGTGTTTCGGCTGTTTCGTGGTGCAGTCGATGCAGGAGGAGATGGAGACCAGTGCGGGGGAGACGAATAACGCCAACCTTGATAAGACGCCCCGGTGTACAAATCCCGTTCACGCACGTCGTTCCGACGCTCATCTTGCTGGCGCTTTCGGCAGAAACGAGATATGTGGCCACGATAGCCACAGTAGTAGCATACAGGGCCAGACGAGCGCCACGGTGGGGAATACAAGGCATTCGAGGCACCTGGAGATAGCGCGGTCAGGTGGGCCGAAGGGTCAGGGGGCACGGAATGGTAGTTCACCGGGGGAGCGGCAGCTACTGACGCGTAGGATGGACGCGGCAATGTCGCGTGGGCGTAGCTGGGAGGCACGGCAACAACTTGAGGGTACGTGGATATAGGGTGAGAAGCAGGTGGCTGTACGGGTGCAGAGCCAGTCAGGGATGTAAGTGTCTCCCTGATGATGCTACGTAAGGGCATTCCCGAAGGCTGTGTAGGTAGCGGTGTAGGAGGTGTGAAGCCCTCGGACCGCAATTCTTCGCGTATAATGTTTCGGATGAGGTCACGCAGATGGCCATCTGACGTTGAGTGGTGGTCGCCAATGTCCAGTTGAAGGCGAACGGAGTCCAGCGCATCAAGGAGCTGGCATGTCGTCACGACGTCAGCGATGGTAGTTGGCTTTTGCACAGCGAGGGCATTAAAGGCAACAGGTACAATGCCTTTCAATATATGGCGCAGTTTGTCCGATTCCGGCATGGATTGATTGACACGCCGGCAGAGTGCGAGGACATCCTCGATGTATGAAGTGTACGATTCACCGGGATGTTTTCGGCGAGTATCGAGTGTCCTCTTCGCGACGGCGGATCAAAAGTCGGGTGTCCCAAAGACGTGTCGCATCTGCTGCTGGAAGGTAGCCCAGTCGGGTAAGTCAACGACGTGGTTAAAATACCATGTCTTCGCGACTCCGATCGGATAAAAAGGCACGTAACGCAGTTTTGCGGCTTTGTCCCACCTATTAGCGGCACTTACGCGGTCGTAGTCTTCGAGCCAGTCTTCTACGTCTTCTCTCCGAAGACTAGCGAAGAGCGGGGGTTCCCGCTGAAGTCCGTGTATGTAAGTAGGAGGGGCAGCTTGCGGCGGTGCGTGGCTGATGAAGTCAGTGCCGGCAGGCTTGGTCTGGGACATGCTGCCTGACTGTGGGCGCAAGCGGCGGCCTGAACGAAGCTCCAGGGGGTATAGCGGGCTGCGGGAGGTCAGAGGACCAAAAATCCACCTCCACTACGTATGAAGTCTTGGTAGTCTTGGCTGCGTCAGCGTTTATTTGAGGAAAGACCTCGCAAAACGAACGGGCAGAGCCAGTACACAGACGATGACGATGATGATGACCCTGAGTGGCAATGTAGACAAAGAGACAAGTTGATGATGGTGATTGTGATCGTGCAGGGATGAGGACGATGAAAGTAACAAATGCCAAATATATATATATATATATATATATATATATAAATATATATATATATATATATATGTATATATATATATATATATATATATATATTTATATATATATATATGTATATATATATATATATATATATATATATATATACCAAAAACAAAAGTGATGCTTGGTCCGGGAAATATTATTCGTATAGGAAAGAAGACGCACGTACGAAGTTATTTTATTTGACGTTTCGGCCGTGGGTCCGGCCTTCATCAGAATCAGATGATTCTGATTCTTCATCTGATGAAGGTCCGGCCTTCATCAGTTTCTGATGAAGGCCGGACCCACGGCCGAAACGTCAAATAAAATAACTTCGTACGTGCGTCTTCTTTCCTATACGAATATATATATATATATATATATATATATATATATATGTATATATATATATCTGCTCAAGTAGAATGCAACGTGGGTGAGTTTCGCAGGCTCATCCCAGTTGTGGATGGCACTCACGCGGTCATACTCCTCGAGCCAGTCTTTCACGTCCTCACCCGGAAGTCCTGCGAACAGCGGAGGATCCTTTTGCGGCTGGTGACCAGGTGAGAAGGGTTTTTTGGCGGTGACAGCGGTAGCGCAGCTGGTGCACTGGGCTGGTCGGCTTGCGACATTACCGAACCCAGGTCGTTTAAGTGGCGGCCTGACCTGAGCTCCAGGGATGTGTTCTAGAAAACGCTGGGGTTGTCCGTGAGCGCGAGAGGACGCAGGAATCGGGCAGCACTCTCCACCACTTGTAAGATGGCGTCCAGTACCCTCAAGACGCTTCTTTATTGTCTCGAGTATGTGCCCCACAACTTAAACAGTAGTGGTGATCATGAGTATGTACAGATTAAAAGATGGAACGAGTAATGATGCTCACAATATATATATATGTATATATATATATATGTATATATATTCAGAGAGAGAGAGAGAAAGTTTCAGGAGAGGCAGTGTTTTCCAAAGTTCAAAATAACGAACGAACGTGCGAATTCTTTTTATTCCAAAGTTTCAAGTGGGTCCGGCCTTCGTATACAAGGCATAATAAAAGGCACTCCTTATATACGCGGTACAACAGGGAGCCCCCATCAGGTGTGTAACTATATTATCATTGGTATGATAAATAGATGTGAACATTCGTTCGGTGTGATTGTGGCATGAGGCTGTTACAAGTATTGTGCAGAAGTCATACTTTGAAAAAAAAAGATATATTCTTAGTATAGGCACGTGTGCATTGAAGTTTAGATAAATAAATCAATGTACACATTGAGGAAGATACAAAATATTTCCAACTTCAATGCGTTCTGGAAACATAATTTTAACAGGGGTTGAGCAAGCATAAACAATGATGAAAATGTCCAGTGAAGATGTGGAACAAGATGTGCGACAATGGCTGACATGAATATACCAACAACAAACAAACACTAAGGATGTAAAACAAGGTGCTTCCGAGTGGGCTAACATGAGTATACCAACGACAAAGAAAAAGTGAAAATGTGGAACAAGGTGTACAAGAACTGGTGCTTCATGCCTTAAAACAAGATATTGCTATCTCGTTCAACATTTAAACGTCAAGCATCAGTGCCCAAAGTTTTTTTTATTTGATTTGCATTTCTCTTCACATTTTGGTGACGGTTAAGATGAAAAAACGTGTGCATTAGGATTTGAATAAGGCTGTATAGATATGTTCAATCAGGCTATATTTCTGCATTAATGGCTTCTACACCAAAGGGATACATTGTAAAGGTTCCCTTATAACAATCGTAATTTATTCGCCTTTTTTCGCCCCACTTCAATTCCGTCGTTGCTAACTTCATTCTACCATCGGAATAGCTAAGTTCTCTCTCAAAGCCGAGTACGACGTGCTAAATTCGGTTGAACATACGAGGAGAGTTTTAGTGATCTGTGTCTGCTCTTTCCTCATTACAAGTTCACGTTGTTTTGATGTAGCCGCATTGACGTACTTGGCTATAAAGGAATGCGTATAAATGAAGTGCGACACAATCGAACAATTAATTTGGATGCGTGTACGTGTATCAGAGCCAGCTGAGAGAAAAATGACGCTTTATCTTCTTCGTTCACTGTTCATATATGTCTTCAAGTTCGCCTTAAGCTGTAAGTGATTTGTATGGTATGCGTTATTACTTCAACGTGTCATAAACTAGATTTTTATTTGCACGTTTTCCAGGACAACTGGAGTAAAGTAACGAAAATTATACAGACACACATGACTCTGGTCTTCAAAAAGTTAGACATCGCTTCAGCTCCACGTACTACCGCAAAAGTGCTTGCAACACATGGCCCAATTCACATAGCTTTATCAGTCGATTACCTGGTGTGGTTTTCCGGGGGGCGCCTCAAAAGTCTTGCAAAAACAGTAACGTCAATAAGCCAGAAATTAGCCTTCTTAACTATATTTTAACATCATGCATAAGCACTGCTCAAAACTTACCACGACGCTATAGTTCTACCGTTGGCGAATCAACTAAATTCCCAGTCTAGGTCTTTGACGTAACACGCTAGCCTGAAGAGCTGCTAAATTTCTTAATGAATCAGCTGTTGATGTTGTTTAAATTATTCTGAGCGTTTTGTAATGAATTAGCCTTCAAACAACTGACTGGCTGTAAAAATTAGATCGATTAATACCTGGTGTGATTGTACGCTTTCCTCACCTAAGAAAATAAACGTAGAGAAAGATTTACATTTGATAAAATAGCATTTTAGGATAACGTTCGGCCAGATGTAGCATAAACTGATTTTTAATGAATCCAGACTTAATTTAGAAAGCTAGGCCTCCAACATTGAGACGTTCATGTCTCAGGCCCAGAAGGAGGCTGCGACAAGCCACTCACGACATCAACCTTTCTCTCCTCATGTACTCTACGAAATCAACGCGCAAAGGCACTAATATGTGCTGCAATGCCACCCCGCACTTTATAACGCACGTTGTTCCTGCGCCGCTGAGTCTGTCTGCAGGGACCACTATGTCTGCGCCATTCAAGTCCGCACTTCCCCTGTGCAAGCCTAACGCACACGCATCCCGCCATAACTTGTGAGAGATGTTTCGAGAACGCTGGCAGCACTCCACCGCCTTGAATACTGGGAAATGTTTGTCCTCAACAAACAATTAACTGGTGGACGTCTTTGCAATCACCTCGTTGATTCTTGCCTAGGGGGACCACCCAGCAATTTACTCTCCCCTTGCCCACCTCTTGGCTGTTCATGCGCACCTCACAAACCGTTGGCATAAGCAATGACGCAACTGTAGCTTACGCTATAGCATCTCACATCTCGACCGTCAGACCGAGCCACCGTGCTCGCACACACTCACAGAAGTACTGGGAGTACGTCAAGAGCAGAGCAACTGTATTCCTTTTACCAAGCTCTTTAACTATGTGGGAGAGTAGCGTAGAGTTAGCCACTAAACTTACTATTTCTTTGAGAAGCGAGTAAAAGAAGCTGCGAACGTTGTGTTTCTCTGGTGGAGTTTCCAGCGTATGCAACTCTCGTGCCGATGTGGCATGAACGGAATCTTGTATGTCGTCCTAGGGCGACGGAGTACAAGCTAGCACCTGGATCTTACCAGCGACACCACAAAGGAGTGTAACTCTCTCGTAATAATACCCCTCTAAGCATATATGTTGGTGCGATCACCTTCAGTGATTCCAAAAGCAGGATTTTGTAATCACAAACTCTTTGTTCTCAAAACGACAACCGGAACACATTCGAAGGAAGAAAAAGCGGTTTCTTCTTAAACGTAAACTAATTTACGAATTAGCTACGGCACAGACTTATTGCTACTAGAGCAGACTACAAGCTCAAGGCTTTAAAAAGAAAAAAAAGATTGTGTTTTTTTTTAACTTAGGAAGTCAGACTGGTCAATTTGATATTCCTAGGCTAGTAATCTACCACTACACCACGCTCAACCATGCTGACTGCGCTATAAAAAAAGTCGTTAAAATCTCAACATATCTATGGAGTGAATGATGATGATTGGGGCGAGGCGTCCATCTGTTCATCCATCCATGCGTCATTTAATCTATCCGTCCGTCTGTGAATCCGTCGATGACTCCGTTCAAGCGTGCATCTGTCCGAACATCTGCCTGTCTGTCTGTCTGTCTGTCTGTCTGTCTGTCTGTCTGTCCGTCGATTACGCGAAATCTTCAACTATACAAGAACCACTAATGCCATATAGGTAAAATTCCTAAAACTAAGTGAAGTGGCAAATACTACTACTACTATACTACTACGAGAGACACGACCCACACCCTAAGGAGCTTCACTCTTAAAACACGTCGGTCCGCTTCCCGGGTCACTGTTGGGAAAACTGCTGCTGGCCACGTATCACACCCCGCTATCCAAAATACCAACTTGCTTTTTGAAATCATACACACATAAAAATGTAAATAAATTACCAAGTTGAGGTGCTTTATGAGGTGTTACTTCCAAGTCGAAAAGATGTTTCTCGCTGTGTCTGCGCGTTTACGTGCACAGAAGCTTTATGTCGACTGTAAGGTTCGATCAGTAGGCGCTTACTTGATCGGTGAACGTGTATATTCTTGTGGAAGCGACGATATGCTGATTGTTATGTGCAGATTAACGTGCCAAAACCACCACATGATTATAAGAGACGCTGTAGTGGAGGGTTCCGGAAATTTGACCACCTGGGGTTCTTCAACGTGCGGCAAAATCTGAGCACACGAGCCTACAGCATTTCCGCCTCCATCAGAAATACAGCCGCCGCCACCCGGATTTGATCCCGCGACCTGCCGGTTAGCAGCCTTAGGCACTGGACCACTGAGCTGTGGCAAGCGATCATATGCTAGTGCAGCGGCTGTGTCAGTGGGTACTGATGGGCACTTGTAAACCGACAGGTGTAAATTCATACCCGATTCCTGAAAAACGAATTGAATTGATACGAAAGCATCTCATCACGTTACTTTATTAAGGCGTACCAAATTACAGTCCTGTGTTTTCACGTATGGGTTGGTGAAGTAGCATGATCCTGCCCGGTGGATTTTGGTGAAGCCAGTGTGCGTTGGCGGAATGCGCTCGCATTGATCCTCATCGCTCCTTCTGCAGAAACCATAAGCAAACGCTCAACAGTTCATTCAGTGGTTTGTTCACGTTAAATGATGGCACGGCTCTATACTGTACAGCCATTCTTCCTCTTCCGAATTCCGTATCTATAAACCTAGAAGCGCCGACGACATGTATGACGAACTTGGCCTGTAAGCTATAGGCCTACATTCGCTGGGAGTCGTACTCGTACTGGTCAGAGCTAGTTGGACCGATCTTGGCGCAGATGGCTCCAGAGGTTGAAGTTTGAGCACTCCACTAACCTCTCGCTGTTACATAAAAGTGTTGCCGAGGTAAGCAAAACTGTAACGATTGCCAGTGATGCCTTCGAGTGTTAGTTTTCTGGCGTACTAGTACAGGCCTTGGCAACGCAAGTCGTATTGAACGCCGGATCAGAACGTTCGCAGGCTTTTTTCAGGGCCAGAACTGCTGGGAGATTGTCAAAACTGTGTTTGTAAGTGCCTAGCTACAACTCCCAGTCTTGTGCATGAGTCGCTTTCCCATATTGAACTGATATATAGGAATGCCAGATGATAATTAAAATTTAATCATTAAAATGGCTCGAATGTCATGACAGCATTTGTAATCAGACTCGACGTATCTATATTGCCCCAAACAATCCCAAGATACTTACATGTGCTGGATATATATTTGCTATTCAAATATGTGTAATAGACTCAACCCTCAAAGAAGGGGGGCTATTTTGGGTGTAATTACCAGTTGGTGTATCCATGGCTGCCCATAGCGTGTGAAGTGCATGTTCAGTGTTGGTGTGTTGTGTACGATCACAGAGTCTCATACAACAATATTACCTAGACGGTAATATGGTGCCACCGTCTACGCGGGCTCCTTCAGTGGTACTTATACTCCTTGAGAAATATGGGAAGTACAGGCTTGGGGTTCGCTTCAAATAGAATGCGTTCTTGAAATAAGCACGTGCAAATCAAAGTGATATGATTCTAGGTTTGATATAAACTTGCCTCAAATATTTGTGCACAAACTTCATGGCAAAATGTTTTCTTGACCAGGCGGCAAAAGTGAAAACTTGCAAAATTCAACCACCTGAGTACGCATCACTCTGTCATTGCATTCCGAAATTGGTGCAAAGATACAATCAATTCTTTTTTACAACACCTGAAAACAAACATGCTTGTTTTTCTTTCGAAAGTATGTATTATGAATCTATGGAAGTAACAGTACCGTATTAAGTAAGAAACACTTACCGTTTCGTCTTCTGCGACACACGGTGCGTCTGTCTCTGTGGTTTCTACCCAAGTAACGCATAATGTTATCCTAACATTGAATGAAAACGCCCAGATATCAGTCAGCAACGTTGCCTAAAAGCGCTCAACGTCCTCTTTTTTGATCACATGATAACGTTGCTTGTAACATTCAGGACGATATGGCAACGTCCAGAATCACATTTTCAACATCACCGCAATATTTTCGCAACATACCAGCAACATGTTGTCAACACACCAGCAACATCATGTAACATACCAGCAACGTGAGGTAACATACCAGCAACATGTAGACAGCATACCAGCAATGTGATGTCTACATTACTGTGGGACGTGTTGACTTTCATGCGATGTGCGCAGAAAATATATACTACTGTGTGTGCGTTAACAATTACAGGCATGTGGACATTTTACGGGTTCCATTCGAAGCTTCTGGCTAGGAAAAAATCTCTGGTATGGTGTAAAAAATTTCAATTATAATGTTCATGCACAAAAACTGTTTCCTAAGAGCTCTTTATCAATGCATTCGTACATGCATAAACAAGTGTTGTTGGAACGGCCAAGCTATTGAAATGTCAAAACACACTTGTGCATGTCGGTAAGTAAAAAAACACACTTTTCAAATCCCAAAGGTTCCAACCCATGTGACATATATACTGCATTTTTAGAGCATTGAAAAATGTGGTTTTGCTCTATGTAAGCAATGACTACAAAAGGTGAACATGTGTTGAAGGTGCAGTATTTTTATGTGCAGAATTGCAGCAACCATGAGAACATGCAGTATTACAGCTTAGT